CAAGCAATTTACTAGATGCAGAGTTCAAAACACTGGTTATATGGTTGCTCAATGATCTCAGGGAGAACTTCAACAAAGAGATAGGAAACATAAAAATCGAGATAGAAAAACATAAAAAAAGTCAGAAATGAAGAATACAGTAACTGAAATGGAGAATACATTATAGGGAATCAGCAGTAGATTATATAAAGCAGAGGATCAAATCAGTGATTTAGAAAATAAGGTAAAGAAAACACCCAATCAGAACAAAAAAGAAAAAAGAACCCCCCAAAATGAGGACAGCTCAAGGGGTCTCTGGGACAACATCAAACATAACAATATTTGCATTATACAAGGAGAAGAGAGAGAGCAAGGAATTGAAAACCTATTTGAAGAAATAATGACAGAAAACTTCCCTAGCCTGGTAAAAGAAATGGATATTCAAGCCCAGAAAGCATAGAGAGTCCCAAAGAAGATGAACCCACAGAGTCCCACCAAAGACACATCATAATTAAAATGCCAAAATTTAAAGACAAAGAGAGAATCTTAAAAGCAGCAAGAGAAATGAAGTTAGTTACCTACAAGAAAGCTCCCATAAGACTGTCAGCTGATTTCTCAACAGAAACTTTGCAGGCCAGAAGGGATTTGCACAAAATATTGAAAGTGATGAAAAGCAAGGGCCTTCAAACAAAATTCCTCTACCCAGCAAAGCTATCATTTAAAATCTAAGGACAGATAAAAGCTTCCCAGACAAGATAAAGCTAAAGGAGTTCATCATCACCAAACCAGTATTACAAGTAATATTAGAGGGACTTCAAGATGAAATATATATATTTTTTTTTCATATATATATTTCATATATATATTTCATATATATATATGAATAATAAAATTGCAATAACAACATATCTATCAACTATTACTTTAAATGTAAATGGATGAAATACTCCAATCAAAAGACATAGATAGGGTGGCTGAATAGATAAGAGAAAACCTACACATATGCTGCTTACAAGAGACCCACTTCCGATTTGAAAACCCACACAGACTGAAAGTAAAGGGATGGAAAAACATATTTCATGAAAATGGAGAAAAAAAAATCTGGAGTAGCAATACTTATACCAGATAAAATAGACTTTAAAACAAAGGCTGTAACAAGAGACAAAGAGGGACCCAGTAATTCCACTTCTGGGTATTTATCTGAAGAAACCCAAAATGCTACATTGAGGGAATG